GTGGCTCTGCCCCCCGCCCGTGGGAGCCCCCGGGTGCGCCCCACGGAAAGCTGCTGTCCCGCCTCCCCAAGCACGGGGGTTTTCTCTGAAGGTTCTGCTGCAAAACCGAGGGCGCAGGGAAGACAAAACAGGTCAGGCAGCCTGGGGGAGAGCAGGGACTCTTTAATAAATTAGCAAAGTAAACAGCATTTATATATATATAATATATATAATATATATATTCTGTTGCTGCATCTCCTCAGATCACATGCGTTAAGCAGAAACGTTGATTTCCTGGTCTGATGCTGACTTGATCCAGGTGCCTGAGGTTGTGGAACTTAAAAACATAAAACCACTTAGAAATAAAATAGCTTTTTGTAAGCTAGAGACACAGCCTCCAAGGGGAAATAAGTGACATTACCGTATGATTTCATCTCGCTGCCTCCTCACAGAAGTGATTGAAAGAAAGTGATCAGATTTTTCGCCCTCTTAAGACAAAAAGGTTTTCCCTCACCGGGCTGGGAAGGGGGATGGACTGAGCACATCTAATGCACTGGAAGGATCATCTGGTACATTAAAATCGGATACAATTTGCAGTGTACAAGTCTCTGATTCTGATGATAACCAGGAGCTGATCTGGAACTTTGATCGTGTGTCAGTTGGTCCCAAACAGGGCGAGCAGACAGCAAAGTCTGGTGGCCCAGCCTGCCCGGTGCCCTCAGTCCTCGTCGCGGACGTACTGCCCGGCCTCCCAGCGCTGGGCCATCGCGCTCTTGTGGCGAATCACTCTGGTGCTTTCCACCACCTAAACCCACCACACGGCACAGCAGTTTCTTAGAAAGATATTTTATAAACAATCCTTTTTGCACCACACCCTCCCAGCCAAAAGCCACCTCCTCATTTTAGGGTTAAATAACATACAGCAGCAGCCATTTCACATTCTCTGCCCAAGGCTTTGCCCGCCCGCAGCCCCCCAGGAGCCCAGATCCCCCCCAGTCCCCTCAGCCCCCAGGGCTTGGGGAGCCCAGCAGGGAGCGAGGTCAGAGCAGCAGAAGCAGAGCCCTAGAGTGGTAACAGCTTTTACCTCCGTGTTGATCTTGTCAATGGGCTCGATGCCGGCGTACTGTGAAAGGGGGGAAAAGACTCAGACAACGGCAGCCTGGCAGGGGGATACCCAGAGGCAGCCAGATATGGGGCACCGGGCAGGGGGCAGGTCAGGCAAAACAGCACCCTCATGCCCTCCCTGGATCCAGGGGCCTGTTTTGGCCAGGACCCCCTTCCCAGGAGGAAGCTGCAAATCTCCAGTCCTACCCGGCTCTGACACCACCAAGCAGCAGGGCCCTGCCCAGGGTGCTCTGTACAGCCCCTTGCTGCAGCCACCACCACCAGGTCTCCCTCCAGCTCTGGGTGAGAGCTGGGTATGGCCACCTCCAACCCCAGGGCCACCAGCCTTCTCCCAAGCTCCAACCCTGCAGCACATGCTACCCAGCATATTCACCTTTCCATCCTCCTTCACCCTCCTCCTCCGCTCCTCGAAGGGGCTGGAACGCGCTGAGTCGGGGGTGAGGGTCTCAGTGCTGCCCTGGGAGGGACCGGCCACTCGCAGTGGGGGGAAGGATGACATCAGTCCCAGGAGCCCCGCCCGGGG